CTGTTGTTACTCCTTCTCAATGTTTGTTTTTTAAAAAAAGGTGCAGGAACTCACACACGTCATACAACCCGCCTTGCCTACCCTATAAGGTTCCATCCCAAAAAGGTGCCGGAACTCCATTCTGGGCGTTCTATGAGAAAAAAAGCCCTGCTCCTTCTACTTCTCCTCCTTCTCCTTTTTATCTGCTGTAGCCTCTGGACTGGTTAACAGCTTAAGCAAGTCACATTAAGAAACCACAAATAAAGCTATTTGTTCCTATTTGCATGTCATATTAAACCTTATGAAGATTATGCAAGTTAGGAATCTTTGAAAAATGAGGTTGTGATTTACATCAGGTGCTTGAAGAGGTAAAAGTATTTTCTCCTCACCCCATAGGTCCTTGATCTTTGAAAAAGGAAAGGAAATGTATTTCTGTTTTGTCTGCCTGAACAAACCTCACAGAAATAATACAGTAATCCTTCTCCCAAGATGGAAGAAATTGTGCCAATGTTGTTTAAATGTTAAGGGCTCCCTTTATTTATCTGTAAGAGTTATAAAAGAGCCATGACAGTACAGTGACTGATAGCCTAATACTAACAGGTTTATCATCAAATCCTGCCTACCAGGCAGAACATTACAGTTATTAAGGGAAATGAGGCACAAATAGAGTGTAATATTTGAAAATGCAGCAATGGAAGCACTAAGGCTGATTGTCGAGATTCTGAATCCTTGCAAAGCTTTTAGATGTCAATTGCTGTTTGGGGTATCCTGTATACTTCAGACAAAAAATGCACTAAACATTTGGACGAGTTCTGCTGCAACTTTAGATCACTAAAAAGAAACTTTGATGGAACAAATTCCCATGAGATTGTTTCTCGTGTGTCCTGGGGGGGGGGGGAACTGTCAAATAACTAATGTTTTCCTACAGTAGTCCAGCAATTCAGTTGCATACCCACCCCTATTTCAGCAGAACAAGATGTTTTAAAATTCAGATATACTGCATGTGGATTTTACTTAGAAATGTTTGTGAGGCTGTGTCAGAGATATTTGCAGCTTTTATTCAAGATGTAAGGTCAAAGGTACAGCTGGATTTTCCTCATTCTACCATTACTCGAATAGAAAATTTCTCAAACCAGCCTTTCCCAATCAGATATTTTCTAAACTGTCAGCTGATTGGTAATTCTGGACTGCAACACTTCTAGCTGGCACCAGGCTAAGGAAGGGTACCCCATACTCCGGGAAACTACAGTATCTGTATCAAATTCCTGATTTCTTTATATACTATTTTATCCTCTGATAAGAGCTGCTTGTGTGTCCCAGGAGATTCCCTCTATGTTCTAGTTTATATTTGATTCAGTTCCACCATGGATTCCAGCACGCCTGCAGGTCATTTAGCTTTAATAATTGCTAACTGTTAAAAGGGGGAAAAATCATATTGATTCAACCAGAATGTGCCCTCTGGTTTGTGTCCAACAATATATAACAGGTTTATGATAGGCATTGTGCTGTATTAGAGTAGAGCTTCCACAATCCATTAAACTGGAACATTGAGAGGTACATATTCCAAACATTTAACTGAAATCCCTTTTACCAGCTTTCTTTTTATTTCATTCCAAAAGGATTTGGAATGAGCAAAAAGCCAACCCCTAAATAATTATCTGTGAGCAGTACCAGTAAGAATTTAACCAGATCCTTGAAATTGTGTTTGCCAGAACTGTTGTCACAATTAGAAGAAAGCTAGTAGATTTCTTTAAACAGAATTAATAACAAGCACTGTTTTTTCTGTCTTCTGGTCAAGCAAATGATCTGTAATGATCGTTTGGGGTTAGATCAGACAATTATAAAGATAACATAGAACTAAATGCACACAGAGATTAGATGTTGTTTCTCAAAATATGTCATGACATTTGTTTATGCAACAACCAGCATTTGCTTAACTCAGAGCCAAAGAAACAGTGGACTCCAGAAGGATGAGAATAAGTATAAGCTCCCATTGCTTTTTGATCCAAGTTGCTTTTTCCTAAGGAGTTCTGCTGTGAACAGAAAATTGCTCACAATGTTTCTTCAACAGCCAACTTACAAGAGAACCTACCTCATGTGTTTTCAGAATACCACCTGAGCCGATCAACCCTAGACAATTAGGGGCAATATCTCCATAACATGATACAAAGCTTGATATTGTATGTGTAAACATTCACATTCACAGCCATTCTGACTTGAAGAACTGGGATAACTTGAAAACTGGATATAATTCTAGGATAATACTTAATGAAAGTAGAGTCTCCCATTTTATTTTAGTACTCTGGCACAGGTGCGAATGAGGAATTTCTTCTGGACCACATTCCAAATAGTGAAGGGCAAAGAGCTGGTCTTTTCTATCTCCTGAGGGTACACATGAAAGAGTGGTGCCTTTATACTCTTGGAAATATATTTGTATAATGACCAGTACAGCTGATGGGAAAGCCAAAGGTGACATCTGATATATTCAAGAGAATACATAGGAAATTGGCCCAGAATTCATACATAATACATTTGAGCATTTCCCAGAGGAGTTGCATCAGGAAACAGATGAGAGATGAAGGGATGTTCGTGTGAGCTAACAAAGGTGTGGAGTGCTGTTCTGTCCTGAATCCATCTTTTTGGGCAAGACTCCAGGGCCTGATAACATATTTTGTAATATCTTGGGCTCATGACTAAACATGAAGCTGTCTTCCATTTCCTTGGTGATAAAATGATGGAAATTTAGTTGCTGCTCTCTTGTAAAATATTTCAAGTATATATCTTGACTGCTTTTTAGTACTGATATCCTCTATCAGGGAAGAGTGACATGTGATCTCTTAAAAATGCATATGAGAGGTGGAGTAGAACAATAATTGTCAGTGGGGCTGGTGTTTCCTGTTCATCTTGCCAGCCGGTGCTCAAAATTCATCTCTCTCCCCAATCATCCAGCTGCCAGCTCCTCTCAGCTGCTGCTTTCTGGGATTTTCTCTCCCTCGAGTACTGTTACTGGCATCTTTTTGGGGGGTGGAAGATTCCTTTAAAAGAGAAAAGGAGCAGGCTGGCAGCGACAAGCACCAAATGTCTCTCTTCTACACATTGCTTAAATCCCAGCCCCAGCTGATTAATCATACAGTCAGGCTGCTTTGAGCTTATCACTTTCCTTAATAGCTGAATAATTTAAAGCCTCTGTTTGTCAGCGTCTTAATTGCTTTTGCATTAGACACAAAAGCCACCAAGAATGCAGAATGGGAATAACCTCAGTAGAGTCCCTTTATTTCTCTCATTTGGCCTCTCTTTTGAACTGGCTTATGGAGGGATAAACTTGGCTACCTACAGAATATTTCGCATCTGTATGGGGAACTAAGGGGACTATCATAGTACATGGGTTTTTATTCTTGGGAAGACTTTAAGATGGCCATAAAATTGTCATCCAGTCAAAGATGTCTGACTGTAATGGGGAGTACTGGGCAAGGACTGGGGAACTAGAAACAGTGACACGAAGAGGGTAAGACATTCTAGATTTATCCCCAGTGAAAGTGGGGAAAGGGGAATTTCTAGAGTTCTTCACTTGTTTTGGATTCTAGCTTCCATCAGCATGGTGAATAATATTCGCTTACTTATCTCTGAACCATGAGTTGAGTTGAGGGATGCAGTAGTCAGGATCACCAGGATTAAAAAGGGAAAGACCACATTTTTAAATAATGCTCCAAGTCATCAAAATACAGACAAAATATCCTTTCCCTTAGCTACCCTGTTGTTGTTTTAAAAGTGTTGCAAACTATCTTGCTAAGCCTTAAAGCTGCACTACCAAATGTTGGTGGTGAGCGCACCAGGAAGGGAGGGGCACACATAGACTGCCATGCTACAATGCCATTGCCTTCTCAGATTGGATGCTATCAATATACATGGAGATGATGTGGGTTGAGTTATCAGATAGCACTTCTCCTTCCAAGTCTCAGATGAACATTGCACAACCCTCAAAATTATTACATCTGGTGGGAGGGCTCAATTTAAATTTTGATAGTTTATAGCTACTTTGTAGGTAATCTCTTTTATTAATTTCTCTGTGTATATTATTATATTATGTTATAATCATGTTATATTACATTATATGCGATACATCACAAATTGTACTATGCCAGAAAACTAATTCCTTACTGTACACATTATCAAATGGTTTTATATTTTATGGTTATTTCCTTTTAGAACCAACAAACAAAAGCTCTCCGTTTCAACTTATTCTAGTCTAAGAGCATCTCACTTGGTTCTGTGTATAATGTTTTGCTACGTAGTTATTAAATCTAATGTGTTAAAGCATTTATACCACCCATGTCTCTTTGGACTTCGTCTCAGACACAGTCAATTGATTATCACTGCTCTTAATAAATACTTCGGTTGATGTTTGATTATAATAAATCCATTTATGCATGGTATTTTCATGAAATCATTACCTTGATAATAGCACTGATAGTGTCCTTCATGGCTGGCCTTCTGATGGCAGGCAAAAACATTTACCTTTAAACAGGTGCTTGGCTTACAGACTTGATTTGTTTTTTTCTGCTGTTCTGAATTTTAAATTCTGTTTTAATTTAATGAAGTTTTAAGTGGCCTTTTGGGGAGTATGTTCTTATTTGGCTTTTAGTTGTTTTCAGGTTTGGTTTTGTTTTTACTACTATTAGGCACTTCCTATTCCATCTCTGATAGAAAGGTGGTCTGTAAATAAGCAATATAAACAAGAGGTCAAGGAATGGTCCCACTGAAGAGAGATAGCCTGCATGCAGCTATATTGTTGTGACAAATTGATGATAATCAGCTCCACAAGAGATGCTGGGCATTGCCAGGAACAATCCTTCAGCTGATGTCACTCTTCACAGCTCTCCTAATGGAGTGAATATATCCTGCTAATGGAGGGCATATATCCTTTCACAAAAGCAACTCACATTCTTTCCTTGGCAGAGAACAATCACATTTGTCAAAGAGGTCTCTAGACCTTAAGCACACTTGTTCCCTCTTTTTTGCAGCCACTGTAATTCTCAATGAACTGAATTGGACAGAAGCCTTAGAGGATGTGTTTGTGGAAAACAGAAAAGAAGACTCGTCTCTGCTGTGGCAAGTCTTTGGCAGTGCTACAGGGGTAACCCGCTTCTATCCAGGTTTGTGCCATTCTCAATTAACAGAGTGAAAATATAATTTGAACAGTGGCGTTGCATTTAAACATTTGGGATTTGAGGACAGAACTTTTACAGTAGGAGTAGAAGCACAATCATGGCTTTCACATTAGAAGAAGTAAAGTGCACTACTTTCCCAATCATCCTAGGCCACTCATTGTTAGGGACGGGCCATTGTTACTGTTCTTCCTAATAGGATAGATAAGAGCTTCTTTGCTAGATAATAATGAAGTCTCTGCCTTCTTTATTTCTCTGCCCTCCCTTTTGATTCCAGATATCAAGGTATGGCCAGCCCCACTAAGTAGATCAGACCTTGAAATCAACCCCACAGGAAGGTTAAACGTACTTTTATTGAGCCTGGCTACAGTATCAGAATCTTTCTCCTCCTTTTTCTTATACACCAGTGAATTAGAGAGGCATGTACCTGAGCCATTTCCTAATATTCTCTCATTAAAAATTGCTTCCGCCCCTTTTGCCTAGCTAACAGTTCCTGTATATTTCCATCAAGGTCATCTTTTTTATTCTCTTCACATGGTAGCAATGTCAGAGAAGGAGGTTGATTGGTCCTCTTGTGCTCTGCCAACCACCAAATATTTGAGGTAACTTATGACATCCATGGGCAACTTTTAGAGAATCAGCAAGGTTTGTGACCTTTTATTTGCCTGCCTTTTCACAAAATATCTGGGATTTTTATACATTGGCCAACTACTATTTTAATTTCCACACTGACCACATTAGGGATGTTACGCAAATTAAAATGCGGTGTCCGCTGGACCTACTTTAAATCTGACAGGGCATTGCCCATGGTTCTTTTGGAAGCACTTATCATTATTGGCCAGGACCAAGGTCCATGCGGACAAAGAGGGGATGTCTATGGGAAATATCATGGATTTGAGGAGTTGAAGGTCTAGCAGCACCCAGGAAGAAAGGAAAGGAAATCAGCCCACCACTGAATAATCACTTCAGCCTAGGGGAGGAGGTAGCATGAGAAAGAGACCCAAAGCAACTCTGCCTTAATTTCAGTAGGTGCAGGATGATCTGGAGAAGTGCTGGAGTGGGCTTGCAAGAGCCTGGATTTTGTTGTACTAGCAATAAAGTTCTTTGCAGAAGACCCAGTGGTTTTTGTTTCCTAACCTTGTTTGCATTTATTTAGAGAGAACTAGGACACCGAGGTTCATATTTATTTGTTTGTTTGTTTAATTAATTAATTAAACAAGTAATTTGAATGCTGGCCAATTCCTAGCAATAAAAATCTATGAAGGGGAATGTGAAGCCTTTTAAAATACCATGCTAATCCTTCTGTAAGGATTACACTACAGTATCAACCTTATAAAAATGGTGAGAAATCACACCATTCATTTTCAGTATTCATCCCCTGGTTTTCAGTAGCAGAGTCTCGGATATTCTGCTGGCCATAAAAATTTGGATTGCAAACCTATTTGAAGTTCTGAGGCTGCTGACTGCTTTCTTAGATCTACTGGCTTTGATAAAGTCATATTTTCTCTGCTTGAAAATGCTATTCTGAATTCCTGAGAAGTATGAAAAATATAAATGGCAATAAACATATCATTCATATGAATCTTCAAAGAATTCTGAGGCAAGAATAGAAAAGTTCTGTCAAGAGTCCCAAGGTCCAACTGCCAGTTAAACTGGGAAGCCCAGTAAAGCCCTCCATTACTATATACACCTTGTGATTATTTATCAAAATAGCAAAATGTGTATTTTCAAAGGAGGGAGAAACAAAAGAGATGTATTTGGCTGAAATGTAAACTGCTTTCTAATTCACATGTTCCAAAATAAAGAACAGTGTTTGAAGTGTGCAAAAAAACCCAAAAAACTTCAAATATTTCAGATTAATATGGGCCTTAGACACATTTCTTTCAGATCCAGTACATTGTGACAATAAGTATTTGAATAACACAAAGTTACAGCTGCTTTTCTTCCCAGTTTCATATTTTCCAGTGTTGTTGTTGCTTAATACCACTTTTAGCAGAGAAATCTTTCCATGTCAGCTTTGCTCTATCTCTCTTTCACTCCTCAAGTTCCCTCATATCAACACATTTGATACCTCAAAAATCATTATATTATATATTTTTACTGCTTTTTTTCATTGCAGCTTCCCCATGGAGAGCCCCCAATAAGATTGACCTGTATGATGTCCGAAGAAGGCCTTGGTAAGTAGGGGGATATAGTGGAGTGGGTAGTTATTACGCTGCATATTTGAGAAAGAATAAAACAACTTAGCACAAAATTGAGACTAATGGACCAGTTCAAAATTTAAGTGAGTTTATTTATTATTGTTATACTTTAATCTTCTTTGGAGAAAAATCAGAGGCTCTTCTCTCAGTCTTCCAGGAAATACCTTTCTCTGGCATAGTATAGGTGGAGCTAAGACATGCCTAGATTTAACAATTTTTTTTTTCAAATACTTAAGCAATATACAGTCTCAGGTTTTACTGAGATGAGCAACAACTGCCCCCCCCCAATGGTAGTATTATAATAGAGTTTGAAACTCTATCCATACTCAGGGCACATGGACTATGCGATTTGCTATTCTATTTTCCTTCTTCAATCAGCAAATCATGAGGTGTACTGAGATACTGGAGATAGGTTTAAAGGGGAGAGAAGAGAAAGAGAAAAGGTCTCTAAATGGAGCACATGCATTGCAGAAGAATTAGATTACATCAAATAGATATTAGCAAGAGCTATAGATGACCCAAACCAGAAGAGGTTCCAGGAGCAAGCAAACTGTGATGGTTTAATATATTACTTCTCATTATAGCCCTGATCTAGACTGGGAGGAGGGCTGCTTGAGATTTTTATTGCCAGAAATGATTCAAATATTGTTTTTTGAATGAAGTACTTTTTGGACAGTTTAAATTACAGGCATGGGGAAGATCAAACTACCTCTCCCCTACACAAATTAAGATCTTGAATTATATTAGGGCCCCATGCTTAGTTCAGATTATTTTTTTAAAAAATGCTGTAGCTTTTCTATTCTTTTGAAGTAATGTAGAATTCATCTTTGTGACAATTTCTTTTAACCACAGCAATTGCATTGGAATTAAAAGTATTAGACTGAGGAAGTTAAGTTGCATTTTCTCAGCAACAATATACGGTACTGAAGTTTCATCACTAAAACGAAAGATGCAATATTCACTTCATAATAAACTATTGCTTGTGAGTCTGGATCCCCTTTCTTAAATGAATAATACATATGCATTTATTTGCCAGGCAAGCAAACAATTGTCTTAAAACAATATGTCAAACAATAATATCCATGGGAGGGAGATTTTAAAAAGGCAAGATGGAGGATGCAGTTTTGCAACACAAGTCCCAGCTCTTTTGTATATTCTTTGATTTTGTAACACATCTACCCTCTTTTGACACCTTCCTATGAATACCAAAGTTCCAAAGAAAATAACTGAACAAAATCTCAGAGACAATTTCTCCTGTTACTTTGTCTTTGAACTGTGGAGATAGTATCTCCATCATTTCATTGTTCATGTTTCTGAATATCAGACATGTGCTACAATTTTGGTTCAAGTTAGTTTCCTGTGAGTTGCACTCATTTTTTATATAGTACCTAAGCATAGTTGTAAATAAAACCTGTGATGTCATCAGGAGTCCTTGGCCATCTTTGGATGTTACATTTAATCAGAAATCCTAACGTAATATGCCACAATGCCATGAAGTACTATGCTAGTAAATTCAGCTCCACCTCTCCTTTAAAACCAGGTGAGCAAAGCAAGCAGGCCTACCTCCATATTTTCTACAAAACCAGGTTTAAGTATGTCTAAAATTCCATGATGGTAAGACAGCTTTAAAATTGCTATATATCTTAGGTTATCTCACTTTATCAACTTACCAATATTGGACATCACATGAATTTTCCTGGTTTGATCACCTAATTCTCTCATATAAAGGGAAAACATTGAAATGAGGATATTGTGATTTCGTAAATTATCATTTCTGATTGTACAGACTAGTAAAAGAATATTTAGTCATACTTTTGGAGATCATTATCTGAAGCAACCAAGAGATTCTGATCAGAATATTTTTTTTCCCATTTTATTTCTTTTGTGGGTTTGGTAAGAGAGAAGAGAAAAAGTGGGAAGAACACTTAGAATACCGCATCCAGTTTTGGTCACTATATTATAAAAAAGATGTAGAAACTCTGGAAAGAGTGCAGAAAAAAAGCAGCAGAGATGTTTAGGTGACTGGAGGTTAAAACATATGAAGAATGGTTGCAGGAATTGGGTTTGCCTAATCTAGTGAAAAGAAGGATTTGGGTGATAGGATAGCAGTGCTCCAGTATTTGAGGGGCTGCCACAAAGAAGATGGGGGGGGGGGGTGTCGACCAATTTCCCAATGCACCAGAAGGCAAGACAAGAAACAATGGAGAGAAACTAATCAAGGAGAGAAGCAACCTGGAATTAAGGAGAAATTTCCTAACAGTGAGAACAATTAGTCAGTGGAACGGCTTGCCTCCAGAAGTTGTAGGTGCTCTATCACTGGAGGCTTTTAAGAAGAGAATGGACAGCCACTTGTCTGGAATGGTATAGGGTCTTCTTGTTGTGGAGGGAGCTGGTCTAGAAGACCTCCAAAGTCACTTCCAACTGTTATTCTGTTATTTATTACGTTATAATCTATTTCTGCAGAACATTATTACAATGACACATGCTGGCACATATGCAGAAACACACACACCATCTTCTACCCCGTTCTTTATAGAAAGAAAAGGATTTGTGGCAGGAAAAAATGGCAGGAAATAGATCACACATGAGAGAAAATCTGTGTCACGTAGAGCAGCATTTCCTATAAGGAGATGCTTATAAAATGGCTGCTAGAAGGTAGCAAAAGGAATTAGAGAAGGGAGGGACTCCACAACCCTTCTGGGCCTCTCTTCAACTTTTCTGCTTCTGTAAATGCTCTCAAATATCTTGAGCTAGCAGAGCATTTGGAGTAATGAAATGTAAATGAGTGCGGTACTTCCACTCCAAGGGTCTATTAAACTGAAGTAGGGCTTACTCAGGCCATGGGTGTGTGCAGCCATCCAGAAGACTCTCTCCCCCCCTTCCTGACACCTTTCTGTCTCTCTGCTTCCTCCCTCCTTCCTTCCACTAGTCTGTATGAAATTCCAGGTCTGTGAGCAGCCAGCTCTGTCCAATTTTCATTTCACACATCGTTGCCATTGGAAAATGGATACAATAACACAGACAGGGGCATCCAAGCTGCAGCTCTCATCTGCTTCGGCTTCTTCTCCTCCCTCCCATTGTGTCTCAGGAGAAAAGTGGGAGCCCAGCCAGGGAAGATGGAGAGATGATAACCTTAGATACAGATAAAAGAGGCAGGAATCCTCCGTTTTTCCCAACCAAGTTGCAATTGTAAATTTTGTCTTATTTTGCAGGCAGCTTGGTTTGGGCTTTCACCTTAGGCAGTAGCAGGGAGACAAAAACAGAAAAACAAACGTTTCTCAATCTAGAAGGACAGAGAGATAAATACCTCGCATGGTGACAGATTGCATTTCAGTGAAAACTGCAATCGTCAATTTAGCCACACAGCAAGTTAAGTATGATTGAATCAGTTAGGAGTAGCCCAGGTAAAGGTGCTGATTTAGCAATACTAATTATGCCTGGGCAAATGCAGAGTGCTTCAGATTTAATTTTCCTCTATATTTATTTTGAAGCTTTTGTAAACTGGGCGAAAAGGACTGGTCTCCTACAGACATAGTACATACACAGACACAGAAAGGAAATTACAATGCCTTTGCCTTGTAAATGGAAGGATAAGCAGTCTTCTTTTTAACACTTCATTTCACCTCTGTCTAAAAAGGCCTGTTTGTCTTTTCCCACAAGAGGTGATTGGTCTTCCTTGTACTATCTGCTTTTTCTCTCACCTGAGAGACTACATTTCTTGTTCAAACAAGCGTTAGTAGCCTGCAAAAATAGGAAGGGGGCAGCATGTTGAGCAGGAAATCCTGGCTGGATAGCAAAAAGAAGGAAAAGTAGAGTATTCCATTTATTTGTTTGCTCATTTTTGACATTTATATAACCACCCATCTCACAATAAAGTGATTCTAGCTAGCTTACAATTAAAAAAAATATTAATATCCAAATTTTAAAAACTACATTAAAAAGCATCAGCAATATTTTTATTAATGATAGTGAATTGCTGTTTAAAACAATGCAACCATTTCATCAACTTATTGTGGCCTTGAAATCTCCAGACCTGCTGACACCCCTGTTTAAGGGACTTTTGGAAGGATGTCAAGGATGGAATCAATCTCACCTTGGGGGGTGGGGCAGGATGATATTCCGCAAGGTGGGTGCCACCTCTTGGGTCCCACCAGCTGAAGTTTTTTACAGATGGGACTGGCAGCATACCTCTTCTGCCAGCCCTGACTGGATGGACAAAAGTAATTGGGTGGAGGTAGTCCCTCAAATAATCCAGCCCTAGGGCTTTAAAGGTCAAAATCAACATCTTGAATTGGACCCAAAAGAAAACTGGAAACTGTACAGCTCACAGAGCAGAGGTGTAACAACTACCTTTCTAGCAGCATACATAACTATCTGCATCACTGCATTTTGCACCTGCTGAAGCTCACGGAAACTCTTCAAGTGTAGCCCTATGTAGACTGCATTATAGCAGTCCATTCAGGAGGTAACTAGGGCATATATGACTGTGAGCAGAGCATTTTGGTCCAGGAATGGGCAGACGGGGCACATAGCGTAAAGCTGTGCAAAAGTCCTTCTAAATACCCACATCCCACTGCTGCTCAGTCAGGAGTTGTGAATGTAGGAGGACCCTCCTTTAAGTTGCACACTGGCTCTGTTTGGGGTAGTTCAACCCCATTCAGTCCAAAAATGGCATGATCCCTGAGCTGGAGGACCCAAAACCCAGGGTCAGTCAGTATTGACAGAGTTCAGCTGAAGCCTGTTATTCACATCCAAGTCCCCAGACCCTCCAGGTACCAGGATAGGACATCAACACTGCTTAAATTTCCAGGGGCAGAATATACAGAACAGATTATTTCAACCAATGATTTCATGGAGATGTTAAATAGGAAAAGGAGGAGCACTGAACCCTGTAGAATCCCACAGTATAGAGACTGAGGGTGGAAATCTCTCGTCTCCAATTATCACCATCTGGAAATGGACCCAGAGAAAGGAAG